AAGTACTAACTGTAGAATGGAATCTAAAACTTTTATTAACATCTATAAACACAACATACAGAATTGACGATGAAAATAAGATATGAAATTGCAAGCGATTACTGTTACAGAATGGAGTATTGGGAATTGGATAACGTTTAAGGTAAGAGTTTAGACAAATTTACATCCCATTTATCAATTATTATTATCGCGAAATCAAGGTGACTTCTATAGACAGAAGTCAACAATAGACCAGATATTTGTTCTGCGACAGATTCTCAAAAAAACAAGTGAATATAAAGTCGACACACATCATCTCCTCATACACTTTGAAAGCGCATATGACAATATAACCGAGAACTCTTAATAAATGAAAGAATTTAATATACCAACACAACTAATAGAACTGATAAAAGAATCTCTAAAAGTAGAAAGTAAAATCTGGATACAAAATGAATTAACGGAAACAATCGATGTGAAAAACGAACTACGCCAGGGAGACGCTCTATCATGCATCTTGTTCAACATCGTACTCGAGAAAATACTGAGGGACACAGCAGTCAATACTTGAGGAACAATCATTAATAAAAGCGTGCAAATACTAGCATTTGCAGATATTGTTGACATAATCGCAAGATCAAGAAGAGAAATGATAGAGGCATACAACCAAATAGGAGGAGTTGCACAAAATAATGGTCTTAAAATCAATCAGACCAAAACAAAATCTATGTAGGTAAGTAAAAACGCAGAAATAAGGCAGTCACAAAATATAACACTAGTAGAATACGACATTGAGGGGGTACAAAACTTTATATACTTGGGATCTCTAGTCACGTTGCGGAGGAAGTAAAGAGGCGAATATTTATTGCCAATAAATGTTACCATGGCTTAATTAGGCAACTAAGATCAGATAACGTCGCAAGAAAAACAAAATGCAAAATATATATAACCTTAATAAGCCCGGTACTCACATACGGCTCAGAAACCTGGACACTCACTAAAATAGAGGAAACTTTGTTAGCCACCTTCGAAAGAAAAATCTTGCGACACATATATAAGGGCATAAAAGAAAACGGAATATGGCGAAGAAGACACAACTTTGAACTATACAAAATATACCACGATCCGGATATTATAACATTCATTAAAATAGGACGGCTACGTTGGATAGGACATGTAGAAAGAATGCAGGAAGACGAAATACCAAACAAAATATTCAAGCAGATGCCAGTAGGAAATAGAACAAGAGGAAGACCGAAGCTGAGATACTTAGAACAAATAGAAAATGATATAACAACCTTAAAAATAAAAAAAAACTGGAGAAAAAAAGCACGGCACAGATCAGAATGGAGAAGAATCCTGGAACAGACCAAGAGTATCGCGAAATAAATGGAATCTTTTATAAACAAAAAAAAAAACATAAACTAACAATTTTCTACAGACCAATACTTGGAATTACGAAATTTATTAATTATTTCGAAATATTAATATAGATAAATGTGCATCTCTCTGGACGCTGGAGTTTATTTAGGTCGACGAAGGGATAAATACGTTTATGGACAATGTCTGCATGATTTTCAGTGGCTTTATGTCTTTTCCCGGCCTATAACTGGCTGTAACACTTTAAGAGGAAACGGGTCACACAAACTGGAATCGTGAATAATGGCGAAAGTTTATTGAACTTGATTTTTATTCTTTTGTGGCAAAGACTTCATATAAGATAGCGGCCATTTGTACAATGTATTAAATATCAAGCATAAATATGGCTTACCAAGGTCAGACGAAAGCAGATAAGCCAGATGCGACAATAAGAATCCCGTTACAATGCAAGCCGGAGTTATCGTGAATTGTCAGATTACACAAAAAATGCGGATGGATTTATTTTTAACTGTTTTCAAAAGGTATAAAAATGTAGTTAAATAACGCTGATGAAAATCTCATTAATCATCATAAAATTTCATCGATACATACATTTAAAATTTAATTATTTTTTCATTGGCTATAGATTTTTTAAACCTAGCCATTGTATATTTTATAACCTGTAATTAACATAGTTGTGATTTTATGTTTGCAATAACTATAAAAAAATACAACAGACAATATAAACATTCTAAGAAAGCTAATTTTTAATTACTTGTGTTAATTACTTCCTATTTTTATATTTTATTATTATATATATATTATTTGCAGGTTATTATTAATGCTACATTGTTTTGGTGATTTTTTGTTTGCAATAACCATACAAAATTACAGCAGACAATATAAACATTCTAGGAAAAGCTAATTTTTAATTACTTGTGTTAATTACTTAATAGTTTTATATTTTTTTACTCAACTATATAGACTCTAAAATAGACACTATGTGCATTTTCATTCTTTCTTGTTTTCAAATAAGTTAGCAAATTTATATGTCACTACCTTGTATTGTTTAAAGACGATGTATCAAAAATGCAACCTAAAGTTTAGTCCCAAGATTGTTTGTGTATGCCGATATGCTAAAAAGCGATCCATGTAGCAATCATGTTGGAGAAAAATTCATTATAAAATTTGACGGGCTACTGAGTATTCAAAGAATAGGGAGGTCGGAAAATATCTTGAATATATATTCAAGATATTTAATATATATTCAAGATATTGTCCAGCGCTAACATGTATTTGTGGAACAGGATGTAATAACATATTTAAGCCTCCAGGTCTAAGGCCAAACCAATCTTGTGACCACCTTGATTGAAGTTCTTGCCGTCGATGAGAGTAGACAAAGTAAGAGTCACAAAAACACGTAGTTTTTGATGGTATCCTAAACCGAGTTGACTGGCATTGTTGATCTTGGCGCGAAGACATGCGTCGGCATCCAAGTCATACTTGCAGCCCAAACTGAAGTCGGTCTTTTCTCCGCTAGCTGCCCAAGACAAGTTGATGGCTGTTTCCAATTTAGGGTTGATTTTTTGGTAGATGGAACCGCTGAATGTTTGACCGTCATCATGTATGAAGAACAAATTCTGATGTTGAAACTCCTAATGTAAGTTGGTCTTAGCCGATTTTGAGTTTTGGACGTCAAAAGCAGCCTGATAACCAGCCAACCATTCTTGATAGCTTACGGCGGCCGAATTCTTGACGACAGGACCGTTACTGTTTAAGTCGGTATCTGCATTGAGGTGTATTCTTTTGTTGCCATACTCAGACTTCACAACTCCTCACTGATATATCCTTCTTGTGGGGAGAAGTTAATATTACCAGATACCTTGAGTCCTTTAACTCCTTGGTCTGAAATAGCGATCTCAGTCCCCAAAGTATTATTTGTATTTCATTTTTGTGTAAAAGTCAATCCATAATCTTTTACAGTGTATTTGCTCTCAAGAGATCCAGACACTTATCCAGATTCATGGTCTGAACTAGCACCTGTACTAAATTGCACCCCACTGGCTGTTTTGGTTTTGCAATTTAGTTTAATTAGGCCGAAGTCATAACTCAGTGTTCTGTTTCTATGAAATATAGTTTAAAAGTTTAAATTAAAGATATTATAACCTTACTTTATTGATACATGCATTTTATTGCTATTTTTATAATACAACATGCTTTATTATTCACACAACCTTGTACAATTGTTGTAAAAACTATTGGAATACTTAGATATTGCAAAAAGCGGAAAGATTCTGTAAAAAAAATATAGAAAATTACAAATTATCCACTCTAAACAAGGTTTGTTTGTAAAGTGAAACTGACATATGTCAATAAAGTCTACGTCATCACTCCGGCAGTCTACTGAAAAGGTTTTTTTGACGTCGGGAGCGAAATAGTGTTCACCGCTTTCGTCCACCACTTAAGTAAAGAATTTTGAATAAATTTGGAGGTAATTGTTTGATAAAACACGTTCATCATCATCATTGGTGCTACAGCCCTATAAAAGAGCCTCCACCTTCACAAGTCCATTACGCCAGTAAGTTCCATCCATTGCCAACTGGCCAGTTTACTGCGCCTATTTTTCTACCGTCCTCATCTACACCATCCCTCCATCTGAGTTTTGGGCTACCCCTACTTCTACTTCCTATATGTTGTAACATAAGGATTCTTCTAGGAGGGTTGTTCTGTGGTGATCTTGCCAGATGTCCTGCCCATCTTAGTCTTCGTATTTTTTCATGGATAAAACACGTTTAAAACTTTAAAATGGCAATTCATGAATGTTGATTTTCTAATTTAGTGCTTAGAAAACTGTAAGTAACCTAAAAAGTATTAATTTATAAAATAAATTAAACCTAATAAATTCTAACAAACGTTGTAATAATGAACCGAACCTAGTTATTGCATGCCAAGGAGGGTGTTTGGTGTTAAAAATGCTATTACAATTTCAGAGTCGTTCATCAATTACTTTAAAAGTTATTCAATTTGTTTCTCTTAAACAACTTTTTTTGCAACAACTTAAGTCAGAAAATACAGCGATTCTACGGGTAGCGTAAGCAAAAGAGTTTCCCAGTGCAGTATTGCACTGGGAAAAATTATTCTTTTATTCGAAAAGCTGGTAATTTCTTTACAAACAGAATTTACCAGTTCAAATGCCTTTTTTCATGTAAAATATTCAGATTACATTAAAAAAATACAAACAACTCGTTTAATTCATCCAGTTCTAGTTCACATATGTATTCACCATTCAACTAAAATGTGAGATTGCTTGTTATGAAAGCCTTAAAATTGAATAAAGGATATAAAACTGCTCTGGATTCATAAAGGAAGGTCCTTTATAAGAACATAATTTTTTTAGGTCGTAAAACGGATGGCATTTTACCCTTTCCTTTCCCTTTCTGTAATAAATGTGGTCCTGCCTAAAATCCAGGATCATACTTGCTGGTTTGATAGTGATAATATAAGGGAAAACTATTATAAATTTTACGAGAGCCACATAAAAAGATAAAGATGATGACCACGCAATATATTATAGTATTAAAGTTGTCATGGAGCTGATTTGCTTATTTATTAAATATGTTTTTAAGTTTATTCTCTTTTTGGTTCTAATAATAGCATAAAAAATGCTAGACGAGGTAAAGGAAAAGGAATACTAGGTACATGAAGTAGGGAAACAATTTTAAAGTTAATTATGAATATATAATATTGAAAAAATAACAAAATAATTTGTGCGAAACATAATATTTCTAGATAGTAAATGAATACACAAAAAAGTATGGCATAAAAAAATATGAAATAAATACGAAATGTTTATACACCTCCTGAGAAAAGTGGTAAACTTCGTAAAGCAAGAGTTTACACTTTACAAGACAATGCCGACAAAGCATAAAAACAACACTATAGTCAATAAGTGTATATTTTTGCGGAAAATAAAGATCAAGAAATATATTTCATTTTTAGATTGATGTAGTAGACAAAAAATTGCAGACATTCTAACGCAATCAATAATAAATGGATCCCGATTAGTTATCAGCTGCATTTGGACAGAAATGAAGGAAACCAAATCGATACTGATAGTATCAAGTACTGATCTCAAGATACCAACTATTGATCGAAATACAAATATAAACTATCCATATCTATATGAATTATATATATATCCGGTTTTTTAGGCGTTACGCCTGTCCGGTAGGGATCTATGGAGGAGTATCACCAAGCCGCAAGCCCTTATCTCTTGCCGTACTGCTCCACCATAGGCCGATCAGATCCCAGCATATCTATATGAATTATACCTATATAAATTAAATGTAAATTGCTTTACATGGGGTCTCCGTACTAAACTTAGTTTTATATCCAATTTCTGTACATGTTTGAATCAAATCTTTTTTGTTTTCCAATGTTTTTCGCTAAGTTAAAAATCTCCCGTTAGTTACACAGGTCTATATTCCTTGTACGTACCTTGCTCTTTGACAATTATCCTTTAGCGATCTATACTCAGTCTGGTACCTGCATAATGCACCTAGCATCTGCTACTTCATAAGATGCGTAAGAGTTAAGTTAAGGATGGATTGTGTGGGGAATTTCATTTCAAATACGTCTAGTTTATTTTTATCCGCTTTCTTTAAGGTCCACGTTTCGGATGCATATGTGGCTATGGGAGAAATGAGTGCCCTTACCAGACTTAGTTTTGGGTGTATTGTTATACTAGTATTTTTCCAAATTGTTACTAGTTTTATCATAGCTGTTCTAGTAATAATCAACCTTCTACGTATCTCTCTGTGACACCCTTCGTCATTTGAGCTGAAGCTGTAAAAAGTACTATTACTTCTGCTATATAACCAATTTTGTATTATGAATACAGCAGCACTTTCTTTTTTGAAGTTCCTAATGGCTGCGGACGTTAAGTAATTAGTCTCTTAAATACAGTTTAGTGGAAATCAGTTTTTTTTATTTTTGTTTTCGTTTGATCATAAAATACACAAAGAATTTATCTTTGTATATTTCTGTCATCGGGGGCACAAAAGCAAAAACGCTCATTATTATGTCATCACCTCTTCTGCTTTATTGTCTCTTTTTTGTCAACCAGATTACATTGGATTTTGACCTAAGTCGTGCCTGCCTTTTTGCTACAGTATTACATGGCTTCTGTCACTCGACACTATACTGGCACGCCACGAGTGAGGGGAGTAGGCAGATTGAGACCCCGAACTCGAACGGAACCGTATCCATCTTGAAAATGGCTCCTAAATGGTTGCCGAAACGTCGAGATTTAAATTGTAAACACGGTTCTTTTCGAGAACCTAGTGATGTATTGAGGTTTTGGATTTTATTATAAAGCATAGAAGAGCTTTCGCTAAGAACGAATGCTCAAAGGTGACGAAGTCAAGAAAAGAAAGCAAAATTGTACAAATTTTTTAGGATTTAAGTCACTATATACTATCACATAAAGCACAAACATTATCAGAATTATATTAAGTTTCATTAGAGTGTCCCAGATTCTGTGTGTGATTAAAATATTTAATTTATTTGTACTGGTATCGTTGAGATAAAACTTTTTGTGACTTTATTCTTTTACGGGATTTTTTTACTTCACAAATAACCGCATTGATGTTAATTGAGTTTGGGACATCCTGTGTGTAATGGTACCATATTGATATTAAGTAAGGAATGCGTTTATTATTAATCTTACATAAATGCCAACAGTTTTGTTTCGAATGTAAATTAGTAGTCACCTGTCGTGTTAATATTAAATTTATAGGCTTACTGCGGTCATTATTTTTGTTGTTTAAATGGTACTAGATATTTAAATTAATCAACGAAAATGGACACAGCTTCGTATGAAATATAGTCAAACTTAAGTATTAATTTATGTTTAAGAGCTAGTATGAAGAGAACAAATGATTGTTTAGAGTTTTCGTAACATTTTTACTTTTACAACTTATTTCATAATTTAAATATATTTTTCATGATTTTAAATGGTACTTTTATATGTTATACGATATTTAATAACATTGGTTTTCCGTTACTTACTTCTTATGAACTTTATGATTTATTAAACTCAATTATAATACTGTTTGTTTTAATAAATCTTTTTCTACAATTTTATAATTAAACAGTGAATTATGAAGCACGTAAATAGGGAAAAATCAATAGTATATACTTTCATACAAATTATTTTGGAGTAGTAAATTATTCACCTATTGGCTGCTGGGTAGCATACACCGGCTGGCTTGCTAAAGTATCACAGAGGTGCCACAAGATGCCCTACAGATGCGTTACAGGTATTTTTAAACTAACCACTGTTCTAACTTAGAAAGGAGTCCATCAAACACGGCTATATCAGAAGATAAACGGTGTCCCCATCCTGGCATGCATGTGAACCGAATGGTCCAAAGGTATAGCGTAGACAAACATTTTGATACAAAGAGTAAAGACTGGGAAACGGATCGGTCAGTAATGGCAAACTCGATTTGATATACATACGGCTCCAAAACCTATGAAGGTACAGGGGACATACGAAAATATTGAGCTCCTATTAATTTGTTTCATCAAAAAGAAGAACAGAACAAAAGTAAACATGTACACTTACTTTCTCTCTCTTCAATCCTGACCCCCCAGGGGGAGTGTCGTGGTCGACGTGATGTCGTGCATTGTCCTCCAAAGATCTCTGTCTCTGGTCATTTCTTTTAATTCATTCATGCATAGGTCTTTGGCATATTCCTGTAATTTGATCTATCGATCTTGTTGGGGATCTTCCTCGTGATCTTCGGCCTTCTACCTTTCCTTGTATTATGAGTCTTTCCATGTTTTCTGTGTTTGCTCTCATAACATGCCCAAAATATTTTAATTGTTGGATATGGACTTTACTAGAGAGTCATTGGCTAACTTTTAGCTCTCTTAAAATTGAATTATTTGTTCTACGGTCGGTTCAAGGAATTCGTAACATTCGTCTCCAACAGAACATTTCAGTGGCATCTATCTTTCTTCTCTCCGATTGTCTCAGAGTCCAAGATTCACATCCGTATGTCAGTATTGGGAATATTAAGCAGTTGATCAACCTCATCTTTATCGCTCTTGAAATTTGACAGTCCTTCCATATTTTGGTCATTTTTGTTGTGGCAACTTTTGCTAGACTTACAACACTTACTTTACCATTCTCCAAAAACTTTATAGACTGCAAAAACACTTTTTATTAACATTACTGTAACTCAGATCTCTAACGAATAACTTGCCTGGTACTATTACATTTATTGCTTACTGGGACCAAGCAACACTACTGCTAAAGATTACTTATCTCCAAAAGATGTTTTCAAATACTCAAACAATAAAAAGTAACTCGTTCTGGCTGAAAAACCGATACTGCTGTTTGATCCATTTCCCACAATCTTATGTGCCAGAGCATTTGGCAATCCGTAAAGACACACTTATTGTGCTTATCTTACGAAATTCTTACTAAAACACAATTTAAAGAGGAGGTGGTTACATTTATATACAGCAACTATGCCTTGTACAAATAAACACTTACTTAATGTGTATGTGCTTATACAGAATGGAATTTAAAATACGTGAATTAAAACTTTATAATTTTTTTTTTAATCGTTACAAATCGTAATCATCTTCGATAGTCAAGCATATCTAAAAGTTTTATACAGGTATATTCAAAACTTACTTGGGGCTTTTTGGATAGCCTCTTCATTAAACTAACATATCTTAATCATGAAATAGTTATCAGATGCTAAATAGAAAATAGTCGTAACATACTATTTACTCATTACACACTACACAACAGTTACAAAAACCCTACTTTTGAGAAAGGAATTAAGAAAAAAAATGGAGAAATAAGAAACGACATCCGACAATGGACAGGGCTAAATTTTGAACAGCTAATAAGAACAGCTGAAGATAGGGAAGATTTTAAAATTGTAGTAGCCAACCTCCATTGAGGAGAGGGCACTTTAAGAAGAAGAAGAAGAAACGACAATTGCAGTATTGAAAAAAAGAGTAATTCTGGTACACTAATTCTAATAGAACACCCTATATTCTACTAGTTCATTTAAATTAAACCTAACCTCAATTTCCACATAATCTCAATTTTTCAAACAGAGAATGGGAAAATCATTTGTTCTGCGCATTGAGTTTAATTGCTAAACAAACACACGACCGAAGTAGCAATAAACGATGAATTAATCGTAGATTCACAGAAAATTCAATCGATAAACAAATAGCGCTACCGAATCATTGCTTTCTGTGAAAATAAACTGTATTTTAATTGGGTCTGCTTTAACCAGAAACCATAAAAAATAGAATAATAGAAAAATATTAAATGTTGTTGTTGAGGTTAACCTAATCGTGCCTTTTGTGTCACATTTACATCAGTTACAGTCATTTTAAAACAGCTGATTCTTTGAATGGCAATTTTCGTATACAATATACAATATACAATTATTATTTTGTATGTTTTCAGTTATAATACGGTTTAATTTTTTAACGTAATAACTTTATATAAAAATATTTCTTTGTTGTATTTTTATTTTATCTAATAATATTTATTGTTTCAGGAATGTCTTTGGCTTTCTAAATCCTTTCCATCTTTAACCATGGATGCCATACAGCGAGTAGTTTCAGTGTTCTTAGTGTTGTGCTTTGTGAACGTATCTGAATGCGCGAGATGGGCTCATTCCGTCTACCTCAGTCCCGACTATCGGTTACTCTGGTCATTAGGTCCTGGACCTCAAGATATCACATTTGAAGTGCAAGTCAGGACGCTCGGGTATGTTGGTTTTGGGTTTTCCAAGGATGGAAGAATGGCTGGATCCGATATGGTTATTGGATGGGTGGATCATAAGCAGGTGTACTTTCAGGTAAGAGTTTTATTTTATTTATTTAGCGTATGGACTTTCACAGTACGATAAACATACAAATACAATAATATATACATATATATTAAATATATTATTCAAACACTAAAGATAGAATGAATGACACTAAATATTAATGTCCAATTTACATAGCCATTCCATTGCTTCTGGGAAACACTCCGCAAAGTCCTGGAGGTTTCCACGGTAGGCACGATTCAAGCAGTCTGAAACACAATGGCTTATGGTCTGTCTAGATTGTCTGCAATCGCACTGTGGACTTTCTGCACGACCCCACCTGAACAGCGAATCAGCACATTCACCATATCCGGTACGTATACGATTAAGCCTTGCCCAAGTTGACCGGGGCAGATTTGATCCGATGGAACCCTGAGTTGGATCGTATTGGAGGATTTCTAGATCTCAATCGCTGGTGCTCTTTTGAGATGTCTGGGATATCTTGATGTATTGGTAATTGTACGTTGACTACAATTTTCTGGTACTCTCTCACTAATGCTGGAACTTATCAATATTTAACTAATTGTCAAAGAAATCACCCTTATGTTTTAATATCTCTTTTGATTTTACAATTTGTATTGGCAGGAATAAATTAAATTATGTAAAAAAAATTAATAACAAATAATAATGTATGTTATTGATTATTTTGAGGTTCAAACTTCTACTCCATAACACTAAATATTATATAAGGTTAGCTAAAACATCTGCAACTTCAGAAAGCTCAATAATATCTTTATTTTATTAATTTATTTTTAAAATTGTCTTAACAACGATCTTTCGCTAGGTTATAGAATGTTGCTGTAGATTAGTACACTAATTACAGTTACTTTAATTGGATACAATAGTACCTAAACCTTCTCTTAAATACGTAAAAAGTTGTGTTACATATCTGGTTTTAATATGGAATTTATTGTAGACTCCTTAAAAATGGCTTCCAACATGAAAACAAGATATAGAACGAAAAGTTAATTTTACCACGCATTCGTTTTCTCGAAGGACTGAGATTTTTAGATTAGTATTGTAATGCGTTGAAAATTGCTACTTCATTCAAAAACGATTTACAACCAATAGACATTTTATTTTCATTTTGTGAGGCTTCTTGTGATACTAGTATTTTAAGTTTAACATTAACGGAATATTTGTATTATTATAATGAAGATACAATTAGTGAATTAAATAACAGTATTTTTAAATAAAGGTTTAAAACATTTATTTCTATTTATTATACCATGGTAGTGGGGGTGATTAAGAATATTATTTATATTGGCTTTTGGAGTGAAACACATTTATTTCATCAATGTCTTCCATACGGTGTAGATTAGAAGAGTTTTACGAAAAAATACAAAAGTTAAAAGCCGATATACAGCAGTACGAAGATAGAACTGCAACAAGATATAGAGAGAGAAGGAGTAAGCAACACCATAGCGATTTCTCTAGTTCATAAAAAGCTAAATACTGTCCTAGCTGATAAAAGGAACCATCGTGGATATGCATATAAATTGATTTTTTTTAACCAGTGGTAGTTCAAAAAAAGAATTACGAAAACACATTCATCGTGAGATATTGGATATACATATATAATCTATAAAAAGAATAGGTGCCAACACTGTTAAAACAAATGATTTATATCATTTCATGTTCTACCGGTATTAGGATTTAAAAAATGCTTTTATTGCAATGGAAAGCAATCATTTTATACAAATCACAAACTCTATTATCTGATAAATTTCCTAAATTATATTCGTATCATACTCTGTGCTTCTGACCTATATTCAAAATAGGATATAAAGGGATCAATAACTGTACACGAAATTCTAATTCAGTTGTATATCATCGCTTTTGAAATTAGTATGAAAACAGAACCCATCAAGATTTTATGAACCTTAATTTTGCACTGGAAGAAAAACATATTTAATTCTTAATGAAATGAAAATGCAGCAACAACACAACTAGTTTGTTTTAAATTGATAATAAGGTTTAATATTTAATGCAAACGGTTATTTCCTTTGCAAACAACCTTTTGTAGGTTTGACAGTGCACTTTAAGAAGGATGGTTTCTAATTTGGAATTATTCTAACGAAATAAGTTTAACAAAGTTAATTTACCAAAAATTTTAAACTTATTGATAAGCGTAGTCCCTACAATAATAATTAAAGTACAGACTGGAACAGTGAAGAGGCTATTAAAAAATGTTTAAAGCTTAATAAGATAAAAGCTGGATGGTTCGTTTGGGGATAGGGTTTATTATACAGGTCAAAATAAATTTTGAGTCATAAGTTTTCTACCTCTGGTTTTCATTTCTTATGCCTAACTAAAGGAAGAAAAACTATTTTTGTATAATACAGTGTGCTTTCGTAATTACCAAAACAAAATTTTTGATTATATGAAAAAACTCTCTTTTCTCTCTCTCTCTCTCTCTCTCTCTCTCTCTCTCTCTCAAAAATACAAAAAAGAATAAAAAAACTTAAATGATAAGTTTTGGTATTTCTTGTGTGCAAGCAAGAACTTTCTCGTTTGAGTGCCTAAACGTTGTTATCCAACATGCTCTCATTAATATTGTCCTTGATACGGTTATTGGGACCGTGCAAGTTCGGAACAGCGACACCTGGTGTCGTAAATCAGCAAAATTTACTGCGCTTTCATGTTAGATCGAGGTTACCGGATAACTGTCAAGGACGTAGCCCTAAAAAAGAATAAGAAGAAAAAGTAAGATTGAGGGTATGTCGGTATGTTATTAAAAGGTAAACGTTGTATGTAGTGTAAATACAAATAAATATTTTATTAAATTACAGCATTACTGTTAATATGGATGCAATAATAAAAACTGGATTTGAGAAAGTAAATCACCAAATAACTTTTCAACCAAGCACTGAGTCAAAGGGAAAAGCTTTAGTAGTGGCAAGTGTCAAAAAAGAATGGAAGAATTAAGAAAAATAAATTACCATAAATAGTGCTAATGCATAAATTAGCAGGGTAAGTCCATGATATCATCATATTGGTTTGAACAATTAATTCTTTCCCTGTAAACTTTTGGACAGCGAACATATCTTAATGCATCTTCAGCAAATCTTGAACTTGATGCATTTTTGTTAAATTAAAAAAAAAATAAAATAAATAAAATTAAACATGATTTTTGGGTTAAAATGAACTCTAAGTGAGTGTTATGAAACTAAAATTTACACTTAAAAGTGAACTTTTATTTATTATTTATTTCAAACTGACTTTAAAATCGGGCGCAAGAATAAAGCATAATTTAGGGTATGTTACTTATGCTTTTTTATGATATAAATCCACTTTTCTCTTTGTAGTAGCTTTGTGCTTCGAAGTTGGAAACAAATAAAACTTAAATTGACAATTTTTTGTTGTATTTTTACAATTTATAACACAGCATTTCCTAAATCCCATTTTCTTCAGTGACAGAAGGTGTAAATACACAAACGAATATGAAATCTGACAATTGACAATATGAATTTATAAAATCTATGAAATGTGCAGTAAAAAATACAAGATTTTTCCGCTACTCGCGCACGATCGTTTCTCGTATCCCCTCCAAGTACTTGCATGTCGCCAATAGGAAGTTTAGTACATCTTGGTGAAATATGCATCCAGGTTGTATTTAAATTTATCCAAGTTACAATTTATGAGACATCCTGCAATGACTGCATGGTTTTGAAGCTGTTCTACAAATTACAAATAAACTTTTTATAAGTAATTGTCAGTCCTCTTGTTGAAAAAGAGTCATGGATCATTGCTTTAATGCTGAGGCAAGCTTGTTTTTCGTGGTTACTCATGAGCAGACCTTATTCATTGACAATTATTTTCCTTAGTTGAACCTACTAAAATTCCGACTTCCTTATTTGACCGATGAAATTATCTGCTTTAATTTTAGCCTCTGACAGTTTCGTCAAAAATGATTTTAAATATTAAAAGGTCTCAGAATTATGACGAAGAGTCTTTACCAACTGCTTCATAAGACCTAATTTTATGTGAAATTGAGACAATAAAATATGATGGCGCTCCACAATTGGATTATTTTTGACGTTGTATTGTTTATTTAAAACTAGTTCCGTTGAGGCAGTAAGTGCTGCTGTTACTGAAGTGCATTGGCTCTACCATCCCTTAAGGAAAAGTAATACGCATATTTAGTGTATTCGCCTTGCCTTTTTACCAGAAAACCAACCATGTTGAAATCCTCTATCACTGGCCAAGGTACTCTTCATATTTAAAACTTGAAGCACAGTTTTAAATTTCTCGTAATGTTTTTTGAGCATTACAAAACGAGCCAGATGAAGAGAAGAAAATTTATTTTTATTGCGAAAAAGAGCTGCTTTTAAGCTTATTGCTTAAATTTCCGATTGCATCAAACAAACCTTTCACATTATTGCAGTAACAAAGTTTGTCTTCCTTAGTAAAAAATCCAGACAATATTTCATGTCGCTTTCTGCCCACTTATTTTAACATCGTTCTTAAGCAAATTCTACTGTTTTAGCCATAAAGCTAATATTTCTGCTTTAAGTTTAGTTATGTAGATTTAAATCTCATGTCATTAAACAGACAGTTGATGGTAGATTTGGGTAATGACATATTAATGCATGGGTTAAACAAATATATAGATATATATGTTTTCCTTAAAAATTGGTGTGTTTTGGAATGGAGGAATTGAGAGAATAAGAATACCGTGGTTACAGAACAAGAGGAAATGGTTCTCCACAATAAAACTAATCTAGTGTACATGAGAACTAAAGTACCCATATTTTATCCTGGCCTTACAAAGTTTTATATTAGATGTCGAACAAATTTATTTGGCCTTTACTTTAATAAATTCGCCTCTTCCTGCTTCTGCCACTTCCTGCTTCACACCAACAGTCCCCTCACCCCTTTCTTGCATCTTAAGATGCAATTGCTCCTTAAAAAATCTGGCATAACAGCGTTTATTTATTATTCACTATATAAATGTGCAAAAACTCTATTCGATGTATATAGAAGAAAATAGTTACATGATTACAGAAAATTAAATGACAAACTAAAAAAATTTTTTTGCTAACCTGTGTTATGAGGATGTAGATGATATCATAATAATTTCAATAAAACTAAAATAAAACCATCATAAAACCAGCAATGTTGTACAGCACTTCATGTTGAAAAGCCAAAAAGAAAAAAGAATTTATTGAATTCGTGATAAAAAAAATGAAAACATATATATATATATATATATATATATATATATATATATATATATATATATATATATATATATATATATATATATAACAGGATCCAATTTGTAAATAGAATACATCTTGGAGACGGCTATCGCCGTATTCCCGTCCCAATCCTCTCGGTCCAAGGCATGCTCCTCCTCCAAACCTCTCGATTCCATTGCTCTTCTAATACCTTCATTCCATGAGCGTTGAGGTCTACCTCTTTTTCTTCTACCAGGGGGCTTCCATCTGTGAAGTTTTTGTTGCTAACGTTCGTCAGGCATTCTTAACAGGTGTCCAAACCATTTTAAACCTCTTCTTTCTATTCTGTCTATGACCGTATCTGTAGCATTCATCTGATTTCTTATAGATTCGTTGGTTTTCCTTTCCAGCCTTTATGTTCTAGCACTTCTTCTCAAATAATCCATTTCAACTGCCAACAATCTTCTTTTCAGGTCTGCATTAATTGTCCATACTTCAGAGCCATAACAAAGAACTGATTCAACCATCGTTTGTCCTATTCTTTTTTTGTTCCTTTTGGAAATGTTGCGATCCCACAATAAGGAGTTTAAACATCCTACAATTTTACGTCCCTGATTAATTCGGTGTTTAATTTCGGTTTCACCTAAACCGTTCTTATCAATGAATGCACCTAAATATTTAAATTTTTCCACTTGTGTGATTTCCACGTCCTCATCTATCAACACTTCAAACCTTGCATCTGAATTGATAACTAGATATTCCGTTTTCTTCATGCTGACTTTTAACCTCCATTTTACATATTCTCTGTATAGACGCTTTATCATACATTCTAGATCATAAGAATCTTGAGCTAGAACGACTTGGTCATCCGCAAAGTTCAGGGAGAACAGTACGTCATTTCCTATTGGGATTCCCATTCCCTGGCAGTGGTTTTTCCAATTTTGAAGGGCTGCCTCAATATATAAATTAAACAGTAAAGGTGACATACTGCATCCTTGTCTCAGTCCTTTAGTTTCTTTTATCGGCTCTGATAGTCTATTTCCGATTTTTAGGTAAGTGGTGTTATCCCTGTATACTTCTGTGATTATTCCTAAAAGGTGTGGACTAATGCCGAGTTGTTGTAAATCTTGCCACAATTTAGGCCTTGGTACTGTATCATACGCTTTTTCTAGATCGATGAAGTCTAGATGTACTTCGTTACCAACCGCTATTCTTTTTTCTATTAATTGTTGGAGTATAAACAAGTTATCAGTGCAAGATCTACCAGGCGTAAATCCGCTTTGGTCTTCGCTAATTAGATGTCCTACATCATCTTGTATTTTTCTATTTATTATCTTTCCAAACAATCTGCCGAAAGTAGGTAAGACACTCAATCCTCTGTAGCAGTTAGGATCTTTTCGATTACCCTTTTTAAAGATGGACACTTGGTGAGCGGTTTTCCATTCAGATGGTATTTTAATTTGTTGGCAGCATTGATTCATTAGAAAAGTTATTCGTTCGATTAGGAGTGGACCTCCTGCTTTAAGTTACTCTACAGCTATATTGCCAGGTCCTGAAGATCGCCCGTTTTTTATTTTAATTAGCGCAGTACGGACCTCGTTGCTGGTAGTATTAATGTTACTATTTGTTTGTCTCTCCATACTGTATTCTTCTCCCATATATTCCAATCTGGACTCTTGGAGTAAATTTTTATAGTGATTTTCCCATTTTTCTATAGAAATTAAGTTGCTTCATGAGTTATGGGTGTTCTTCTTTAGATTAGTGATAGTTCTCCATGCTTCCGTTGTCTGAGAACCACCCATTAAATTTTCAACTTGGACACATTTTTGTTCCCAGAAATTGTTTTTTGCTTCTTTTATTTGCTGGCGTACTTCTCCGTTTTTCATTTGATATGATACTCTATTGCTAGATGTTTTATTTGTTAGCCATTTTTTATATAATTTGTTTTTTTCTTGTATCATTTTTTAAAAATGGAAACATTTATTTGGATTAGTGGAATGACGAAGAAAAAGAGTGAATGTGGTGATTAAAATTTAGATGTACCTTTGGTTGCTAAGATAAGAGAGCAACGGTTAAGATAGTAAGAGTATGTTAAAACAAGATCATGTAAAAATAACAGTCGCTTAATATGAATACCAGCCTGGTAGTTGTAGGAAAGAAGGATCGGAGAAGACATGATGTGAAATAAACCAGTCATCTCTGTAGAACGAAAAGTGTAATTAAAGTTGCCGAGACTATATCGGAAAAAGAGCAGAGAGCATTATAATGCGTGTTTCATTACCTCTTATGCTCTGGCATTCGTTTTTAAAAAGTATGTCTGTTTGTACGATGTAAATATGTGAATATATTTCTGAATACTTTTTAAATCGCTCCTTAACCTAAATTACTTTTCGTTAACTTTTTTTAAAGGATTAATTTCTTAATATATAGCTTTAAATTTTGTCGTGAAGATTGCATTCCTAGGAAGATATATTTAATTTAGTATTCTCGCCTTTAATGATTAAAAACTATACAAAAAGTAACAAACGAAAAAGGCTAGTAATGTTTTTATAATTTAAACCAGAATGTAAATCTGGCCCTAAGTGAAGATATAAAGATTAAATCCAATGAATTGTAAGGGATTTAAATGGAATTTCAATAAACGCTGTTTTTTCAGGAGCTCCTCGTTTTTTCCAATCAAGTATTTCACCAGGATATCCGATCAAAATTGATTAAATCCTGTAAAATTGTCGCTGGGAACATTATTCTTGGAATAAATTAAATTAGTGCGAAGAGGAGGAGGTGTCGGGCTCAATTAATTAAATAATGAAATTGTCTCTGCCTCGCAATTTCCGATTGCCAACAGATTTTTTTGTGCTTACCCTTCTATTTATTTTTTCTTGTTGGTAGAAAAGGCTCTGTGGTCGTTTCCAATCTTTTCCTCTGTAATCCGTTTATCCCAACTTAACACAATTTAGTTTCTCCGTTATATCTGACTTTATTGCATTTAGTTAAAGCACAAGATGGTGTTTTTTTAGGGTTAAACAAATTGACTAAGCTTTTTTTGCGGTTTTGAAAAGGATAAAACAGTTTCTGAATAAGATTTTTCCAGATAAACGCTACTTTTAAATGGACGGCTTTTACTTTCTGACCCCATTTTTTTGATAACCAAAATATCTGTGGCTTTATTTTATTCAATCGACGGCAAATGTCTGCATGGTGCTAAGAGACTCAAATGTAAGTCCTCAGTTTTTACTGATTTTTTTATACAAATACTTTGATATGGTATTTGATTTTTGTTGGTTTATAGGGAAGATTAATCTTGGAGATAGTTTCGTGTATTACAAAATATAAAAGATGATACAGAGATACAGAGAAAACAGAGATATAAGCCATATATAAATATCAAAAAGAGACATCAGGTTTGGCGATGCCATTTTATCGTTTTTTAAGAGCTTAAAATAGTTTTTAAATTCAACCTTTCCTTTTTTCAATCGTTGTAGAACACTTCATATGTTAGTTCCGATGTCAAAGGAACTTTTACATTATCTCTAAACTGTCTAAATTTTCTATCACTTAATTATCCTTCTGGTCAACATTTGATCAAACTTTATTCTGAAGAGTTTCTGAAACGAATAATAAACTTTTTCTTGATTTAGCACGGAACATTTTCTATATAGCCTATACTAAGTTTATTTCTATATTGTTTCAGAACATCGCAGAATTATTCCCGTCCAGTACAAAGATTGTAAGAGGCCTTCTTTAGTAAAGTTATGAGAGCAATCTCGTCATTAGAAATTCCTTCTACATT